GCTCCCGGTGCAGCTGCTGGCAGTAGGCTGGCCCCTTCTCCGCTATGTTGCACAGAACTGTCAGGACCTGGACGGAGAAGCCATGTGAGGGAGTGAACAATGAACACTCTGTGAGTGGGCAGACTCCTGACAGACTTAGGAGGGGTCTAAAAATCCTCCCCATGTCCTCCCTGGAGCTCCTGCCAAGTGCTTCCCCGAAGCCGTGTGCCCACCAACCAGCTGGATTGTGAATGCTCTGTAAAAGCCTCCTCCATCCCCACCCTGAGGCACTGTTCATCCCACTGCCAAGCAGACGCAGCCGTACCACCCGCCCCTTGGCAGAGCATCCCCCCAGGACCCTCTACAGCTTTAGGGTCTTCCAAAAGAAGGTAGCAGCAGCCTCCCCGAGCCCGCTCCAGGTGCTGGCAGGGGCCTGGCACCAAGTTAACATCTGCCTTGTGACCCCTCTTCTGCCAGGACAAGACTCTGTCAAGGGTAAATACAGATGTAGTGACATCAGGGGAGGTAGATGGTGACTCTGCCACAACACGGGACCTTCCACCAAGCTGTTGGTACTGCCCCAAGCCAACCTCTAACTTGAACGCCGTACGCCTCGGGTTTGCGTTCCTGAAAGTCCAGCGCTACCCCCAGACCTGGGGCACAGGGCATGGTCTTACCAACACACTGGCCATCTGGGAACAGGGCAGGAGCTGCAGCAGGGCTGGGAGCAAGTCCAGGGAGAGCAAAGCGGAGCAGAAGAAGGGCTCGTCCGCTAGTGTGGGCAGAGAAGGAACGTGTCACAAGAATGACCGTTTCCAAGTGAGGTCTCTGTGGCCAAGGCGCCACGAGTCTGCCAGCAACGAAGGCAGGTCCCGCAGCAGCTCTGGCTCTGCCAACAGCCCCATGGGACGCTCACCCGTGAGGTTGTTCAGCAGCCAGAGACACTCTGGTACGATGAACGGGTGCTGCTGGAGGAAGCGCTGCAGGATGAGGAAGAGGGCGATGAGCAGGCGCTCGTCCTGCATCCGCGCTTGGCAGCCCGTCTCCTCCGCCAGCAGGTTGCCGAGGCACCGCAGCACTGGGCACACGAGCTGTGAAGGTGGCACACGCAGAGCCGTTCAGCCCGACCGCGTGCCCGCAGCAAGGCCCCGAACAGCCAGCATCCTGCCCGCGTCTTACCAGCTCCAGGCCCTCGGGAGCGTCCTGGGGGATCTCAGAAGCCAGGTCGAGCAGAAGCGAGGCGAGGGCAGGCACGGCCCCCAGCGACAGCAGTGCCCCGCTGGCCGTGTGGCTGCAAAGAGGAGGGACACCGTGGCTGCTCTTGGTGCTCAGAGAGGGAAAACTGCCGCAGCCCTCACCAAACAACGGGGCCTGGGAATTCCGAGCGCTCTCCTGAACCACCACAGGGCATGTTCCCTGTTGGAACAGCAGCTCGTTTCTGAGCTCATTGAGAGAGAGTTTAAAAGGCTGTGGAAAACAGATCCACTGGAATTATCTGTGTGAGTCTGGAAACAACAGCCTCCATCCTTCGAGTACCCACATGTTCCTTTCTGCTGGGGCTGCTGAAAGAGATGGCACCAGAGCAGCCATGCCTGAGATTGTTGGCAGGTGACACCGGGCCAACCCCAGAAACACGAGGATACAGGGAGCTTGTCGTGGGGAGTGCGGGGCGGGGGACAACTCCAGGCATGGGGAGGCAACTGGGAGGGGGGTTTCAGAGGAACGGCCACCTCAGGTTTATCACCTGTTACCACCCTGTAAAGGAACTCGGACATCCTGCAAAGTGCGTGCTCAGATACGAGAGCAGGAACGCCCAGGACGGCAGGGAAATTGCTTTCCCATGGGAAAGGGGCAAGGGGAGGCAACCCAGGTCCCCTCACAGGACCCTGGGCCTTCATGCCTGTTTGGCTGCCCCCAGGGAACTCAAAATGAGGAGAAAAGCACATTTACCTACAAATGATGTAGTGGAGACACCACGCAAACTCCACAGCTGCTCCTATCCCAGCCTTGAGGCCGGAGCACACCAGTCGAAGCATGTGCTGGGGGAGAACAGAGTCCAGAACCAAGCTGGGGTCAGAACAGCAGAGTTAACAGAGGCCAGAGCACAAGCAGGACAGAAAACGGACAGGGAGACGCTAGGCCACCGAGCAGGGAGCTGCTCTCCCCCTTACTGGTGGCCACATGCTCCAAAAACACACCTGGAAGAGGCTCTTAGCTAAGGGCTGTAGCCTCAGATACCAGTAAGGCACAGCACACGCTCTCCCTGTCCGTGGCAGGGCCTGGGGGCACTCAGGACACCTTGGCTGGGGCCACACTTTTGGCACTGGGGGCTGTCAAGCTGATCTTTTCCTTCACAGGAGGAACGCAGCCAGAATTCCCCCGCGAGCCTACCCTGCTCAACGCTGTCCTTCACCGAAATACCAGAGCTGTCTGCTCAGATGAGGCTGAGGGAAAAGAGTCAAGCCCTGTGCCCCGATCTGCTACTAAACCTCCATAACTCTGGGAGGATTCTGCTCTGAACTATTAATATCACTGGGCTGGGAAAGGCGCCGTTGTCCCTGGCACGCAAATACCACGCCGGGCCCCAGGGCCCATCCTGATGCAGGGTTCAGAGGCTCAGACTCACGGTATGATCTCTGTGGGGGCTTCCTTGGCTTGGAGGAGCTGCGAGAGGACGTAGCCCAGACCTTCCAGCACAGCCTCGTGCGGGGACTGCAATCAAACAGAACAAAGCTAATCCTGCGTGACAGAGCTGGGGCATCCCAGGGTGCCAGCTGCCGTGCCGGTGAGAGGGCGATACCCCTTTGTAACACCAAAGCGAGCAGCTGAGCGGCGCAGTCTCTCCACGCCTGGAGAAGAGGGGGCACAACGGGGGACCAGGAGTGATGGAGCAACCTCAAAGCTGAGCTGTGCCCCCTCCCCGCGCTCAGGCGGGCTGCAGCTGTAGGGATCCAGGAGCCCAAACACAGCCCCACTGCTGCTTCCAGCGTTCGGATCTGCAAACGCGGCCCCGCTCGCTGGGTTGGCCTCGTATGGACCCAAGCCGTGCAGAGGGGAGAAGCCTGCAGCTCCCCCCGTGTTACAGACTGTTTACTGGCAAGCCAGTTACGGATGTGAGAGATTCAGCTGGAGAAGAGCATAAGGTGGTCACCTGAGCCCCGAAAACAGAGTGCAGGAGAGCCCACAAAAGACCCTCACCCGCAAGGAAGAGCCCTCTGCAGAGGGGTCTCTGCCAGTGGCCACAGCTGGAAGGAGAGCTGGTGACTCAGTAGTGTCAGCCAGCGTCTGAAAAGCATAAGAAAAGGCGTCTTTCTAGGGCAGGGCAGAGGAAGAGTGTGGCTGAGCTATTTCACCCACCTGGATGCAGGATGCCAGCACTGGAATGATGCCCTGAGGCAGAAGCTGCTTCCTCACAGCTTGGCTTTCCACTACCAGGTTCCCCAGCGTGTACAAACACAGCTCCTGAAACACACCCGAGAGAGCAGGTCACCTCTTCCGCACTCCCCAGCGGCACCCTGGCCAGCCAGCAAGGCCTCTAGGTTCCTGCACCCCAGGACTAGGGCACGCACTTCCCCTGAGCGGGGCAGAAGCTGTCTTCAGAGGGGTAAACATAGATGGATACTGCTGGACTCTCCAGCTACCCCGTTCCCAGCTGGATCAGCTTCAATTTTTCCTTTTTCTGTCTGGCTTAGGTTGGGATCTGATCACTTCTACTTTGGAGGTTCTTCAGGCTTCTAATTATTGCTATGACATTTCCCTGAGACCCCTCTAATTCCACAGTGTTCTCCTGGAGACTGCCCGTGTGCTGCTTTAAAACCCGACCATCCCTTTGGGGTGGCTCCTCATCCTGTCCCTTCGCTCCCATCCTTTCTGCTTCTCAAAGGAGGGCTGCACAAGGGGCACTGCTCGGTGCCTGGCAAAACACACGGGCATCCCAGAGCTACTCCAACTGGTCACTCTTTTGCCCGGATCACCCGGAGCCACAGGAGCTCTGCTTTTCCTCCCGACCCGGACGAAAGCCTGCCCGCTTGTTGTGTGAAGGTGAGCTGCCAAAGTAGCTATCCCTGCTTCCCAGCCTGCAGCCGCTCATTCCTTTCACTTTTCCAAGATGTTTTAAAAAACTAAACTGAGCTGCATCTGGTATTTCTGCCTCACCCACCACACAGACAGCAAGGAACCTCCAGCCTGTGTCAAGAGGCCGGGCCACACGTCTGATGATGGAGTCCCAGTGCCACAGCCTGCAGCCCCTGCTTCCCCAAACGGAGCGTGGAGCTGAAGAGGAGGAACCCATTGCAAATGGGGCAAACCACTGCGTCCTGGGCGGCGGCAGGAGGGTCCACCTGGCCCGGATGAGGCTTGGGAGCATTTAAGAGCAGCCTGCAGCTACCTGGAAGGAGGTGCAAACACGATGCACCTTGGTGTTGGGACAGGGCACGGTGAAAGGGGTCTCCATGTTTCCAAGACTTAGTCAGATAAAGCCACGCTGCCCTGGGCTAGCACCGGGGACAGTCCTACTCCAAAGGGAAGGCTGGACTCGAGACTTCCAGAGGGCCCCTTCCCACCAGCACTCCTATGTGAGCCATGTTAGGCTAACGCTGGCCAAAAGAGGTCAATACCCAACTGCTACCAAAGGATTATCGGGCACCAGAGCCCTGGCAAACACATGCACGGATCTTACCGTGAACTCAACACTGTGTCCTGAGAGGTAGGTGAGGAGATAGGAGGTCACTGGCAGACACGCCTCGGCCACAGCGGGGTCACTGGAGTGGGAGAAGCGGGCTGCCTCCATCTGCATGTCAGCCAGGCTGCTGGTGAAGAGCCCGATGAGTGTCCGAATGCTGCCATCCAGCCTGGTGGAACCCAAAGGGTGCTGTCACCTCCTGCCTTCCCACCCTTGGCCACACACCTGCTTACCCAAGCAACGAGTGGAACAAAGGGCCACTCTGGACATGGCCTTGATAACAGCCATGCAGTGCCAGACCTGGGCTGACCTGACAAACTTCTGCTGAGTCTCCTTGTTCTGCAGAGCCAAGCGGAGGCAGCTCAGCGATCTTCTCCTGTCCTCTGAACCCCTCTGCACGCCTCTGAGCAGCTCAAGAACCTATCCGAAAATCAAGAGACGGGTGAATTTCAAGCAGTTCCAGGGTTAAGATTTCATCCCGTTCATCCCGGAGGCAAAAGAAACCCAGGGCACAAGTTCAGATGGTCACAAAGAACCTTACTGTTTCTCACTGTGTCTGGCAGTGACTCAGAAAACACTCCCAAACCCACCTCAACCCCTCCCAAACCCCCCTCCACTCAGGCTCCTCTACATGCCTAGAGGCTGGGGAAGGCCCCAGGGATGCCCACCACCACAGAGAACATCACGTTCTTCACCTCATCGTCTGAGAGAGGTTCCGGCACGATCTCTGCTCCATCCTGTCCACCCTCTTCTGCTGCGGTGTCCTCCCGCAGAAGCCGTTTGCTGACCAGCTGCTCCGCTGGGGAAGGCCCCAGGGATGCCCACCACCACAGAGAACATCACGTTCTTCACCTCATCGTCTGAGAGAGGTTCCGGCACGATCTCTGCTCCATCCTGTCCACCCTCTTCTGCTGCGGTGTCCTCCCGCAGAAGCCGTTTGCTGACCAGCTGCTCC